CCGCTTTCCATAATCTATCTAGTATAGGAGGAGGACGGTTTCTCAGCGTCTATTTCAACATTCCAATTGCACAGAAATTTATAGGTGCTGCATCTGGCGACTTGACCGGTATGTTTTACTATGGAATAGCCTGAATACCTATTTCATTCTCCAATTCTCTCATGGAAGCGACTTGTGTTTACGTGCTTCGTGTCGCTTTTCTAGATGGAATATTTCTTGGTTATGTTGTATACTGTTGCCTTGAGTACGAGGACGGCTTTGGTCACCGATCTTAGTGTTCTATTACAAAACGCTTCATTTTGCTTACCATAGCTGGAGTACGATATTCTGCAGGTTTCTCTATAGATAACTCTGGTGCTTTAAGTTGGTCCATATTCCTTTGTTTTCCATTGCCATTAAATTCAAGGAACACCCTGTCTTAGACACCCCACGTCCTCAATCTGAACACATGTGATCTTAGTGTATAGATATTTTGCGTTGGAAAGGGCCGTTACATACTCTTCCCAAAAGCGACCGATTTTCGGTGTCACCATATTAACAACGTAAGATATATCAAACACTATCAAAATGTAGTTCTGAGACAATTCATTCCACCGCGACTTGATATCGGTTGTGGTTGTCACGTGACTTGCAGATTTGTTTGTGAAAACCTTTTTAATATAACGTAGTCAATGCTGTAGCGTATCCACGACCTCAAAACGTGGAGCATGTTTATGTGGCAATAGAACATGAACCATAAATTAGTAAAGTCGCATTCCCAGTATGCTAATCATCAGGCTTCAAATGGCCTTGAAATGCATAAATAAAAGACCGTATTTTTATACAAAGAATGGTTCCCTATAAGAGCTGTTTCTGACCCTTCCATGAACTTCAATCACTGGAACTCACCTGATACTAACTACACAAACACCTTAGTTTACCTTATCAAGGTGTTATTATAAAAGAAACACTTACATGAACTCGCAGTGTTATCCTTTGAACCAATAGCGAGCATGAAGCATGGATGTCACATGAAAGACTACATACAAATATGAAATGTTCAAAACCACACTGTCCTTGTTATGCTTTCCATAGAACCTTAGTTATCAGTATCATTAGAACTACTGCTTTTTCCTGAGACTGCTGCGTCAATGATGTGATTTTGACACTTAAAGTGTCCAGAAACTCTATGAGTGTCAGAGGATCGCTGTCGCATTTTTCATGTTTAGCCATGTCTGCTGATCAATCTTGAAAAACAAAGATTTTGAATATTAAATGTCACAGTATTATTTACAAATGTCAGAGAATACGATGTCAGAATATATATAAATATTAGATGTCACTGTTATTGAGTTTTTCAGTATTCTTGGGGACATATTTATTGATTGTCCATATGCTATAAGCACGTGTATGTACCACATTTATTTTCATGTATGATACGTATTTTGTCTCGTGCAAATATTATGGTAGCACGTGCACGTGCTTGATGTTAAAGACGAGTCCGTTTGTATGAATAATACTTTTCGGCAGAAATCTATACAATGCTCATAACATACATCCTATATCCACAAACACATTGTACAAATCTCCATGTTGACTTGTTTGGAGGTAGGGCGTTATCATGACTACCGAAAACACTACTTACTGTTTCCTTTCTCTTTACTTTGTTGTTCACTGAATTTTAGAACCTAAATCGGCCTTCATTGGAACCCATCCTTTAATCATAAGTGATAAATATTTCATAGACAAGTACATTACAAATTTTTAACTTCACCATGTATAATAATTCTATAAACGTAAATAAAATAACGACCTATATCTCCAGAATGTAATTTTATTAGCTCATTATTTCGCTATTACAGCTTCGTCAGGAGCTATCGATATCATACAAGTTCACTAATCCGGTTAAATCTAAAGTTATTTTTTATGTTTTGTTTTATTTCGCTAAATAATATTGATACTTTTACAGATTACATAATATTTTGGCTCTGTGCGTGAAATTTAGGTATAATTTATACGTATGCTTATTATTATGATTACGGTTTAAAATAGTGTTCATAATATGGATACCCAAGTACTGATTCGGTTCAATTTAATCACCATAGATTTTGAATCTTATGACTAAATTATATTGTAAATCGTTTTATGAAAATAATTTGGCTTCATTTCAACTCAAGTGAATGATTTTTCAAACCGTATTATGATATGAACTGTTGTTAACATTCTGTTGCACGTATTATGATATGAACTGTTGTTAACATTTTATTGCACGTATTATGATATAAACTGTTGTTAACATTCTATTGCACGTATTATGATATGAACTGTTGTTAACATTCTATTGCACGTATTATGATAATATGGTGAAAATATTTTTCTTTGAACTTCTTATATTGCACAAAAATATATTTTTTGTGGAATATATTTTGGTAAGTTCTAAATGGAAACGTTAATTAGAGGTAGCATTTTTCAAGTGAGAAGCCAACAACTTATTCCATGGTTTATTTCGAATGTTAGAGGGAAGCATGGATATTCAGCTACAGTATTCAAGTATTTTTATAAGCAACAAAGATAGATGTTGCCTGTACGTTACAATGTGAAATAGAGGGTTATGGTTTTGTCTCCACGAAAGTATGCTTTGTTTTGATTTATTTTAGTCTTGACCATAAGATTCGATTTGCTCATGCTTAAAGGTATCTATTATGATAATGCACTGTCTATATGATTACTTGATAGTACAATTTTTAAACAATATAGTGTATGAGCAAAAGTATAACAAAACCAATTGTTTGTATTAGAACTTCAAATAAAACATTTGATATACGCATATAAGAGACTGTGAACAAAGTGTTCAATGCTGTCTGTCCATTTGTTTCTTCGTATATTCCTTATATTTGTAAGAGCTGTCTTTCTCGATAAAACATTTTCTACACAATAATACTTGTGACAAGTTTATATTTTACTTTCGTTTGTTAATAAATGCATACTTCATAAAATGTGACAAATGTTTGAGAAGTATTTAACAAATCAAATAATAGTATATAGTATCTTTTACCTGCCTAGACTAAATAATATTAGCCCTCCACGGTTATAATGTCTCAGGATAAACCTCTTCAGGTGTGTGTGTGATATTCTCATGTGAGCCCTCCACTGCTACAGTGTCTCAGGAGAGACCTTTACATGTGTGTGTGATATTCTCATGTGAGCCCTCCACTGCTACAGTGTCTCAGGAGAGACCTCTACACGTGTGTGTGATATTCTCATGTGAGCCCTCTACTGCTGTATATGTTGTGATATTTTCAGGTGCACTGATTTCCAACAAGTAATAACCGCTCTAACTAGAGGTTCGCAAGTGTATCACACACTTAAAAGGAACTTTGACCTGAATGAATTACGAAAAGAGTGTGAAGAATACTTATGGCAAAAACCCAAATCAGTGTTTTAACTATGGACAAAGAATAGAACAAATATCTCAAGGTAATAAACTGATAAACTCATAACAAGAAAGATGGCTACAACTCTAAGTGGAGAAAGATCTTGATGGAAAGAAAGCCTGATATAATCTGATTAAAGAGAGATAACGAATTGCTACATGCTTATTCAAATAGGATTAACTCTCTTAGAGTGCATTTATCAACCACACATGATCTGGCTATTTCACTAGCAAAACTATATGTTTTCTAAATTTTGTTGAACAGGAAATGCTTACCTTTCTATTTTGTTGAACAGGAAATGCTTACCTTTCTAAACTAAAAGGAGAGGAAACCTATTGTGGTTCAATACCACACGGAACAGTTTATTTGTGGATTTTAAAAAGTGAAGATTAAAAGTTCAATAACTATGCAGAACCGAAGCGAAAATTATAGGAAATATTACAGCTTTAACAACCACATTACAAAGAGTACGTGTATTTGTTAAATAAACAAACATGTATGCGTATAAATAGTTGTGTAACAGTACTGTCGTCTAAAAAGTAACGACTAAATATCCCTTAAATGCATATTTTTGTGTTCTTATTAAACATACTTGTTCTTAGGTAACATAATTACCATCTGACGTGATGTTGTTTCACTCTTAGCGATATATATATATATATATGTTTGTGTGTGTAACTGTGTCCATAGTTTTTATTTAGAATCATTATAAATTTATATATATATATTTATGACAAGATGATGCTCAGATTCTTCTTCTTTATACTTCCCTTTTCTAATCCCCATCTCTGCACTCCATTGAAGTAATAATAATAAACGAATGTAAGATCCCATGTAGCTGTTTCACTTACATTCGTCAGCTCGGTTGCCCCTTAAACTAACCTTGGTAATGTTTTCTATTTTCACCCTGGAGTAGCATATGTCATGCTCTATGTATGAGAACGTTTTCATTATCCGTTCAGGAACTTGCTGGTGAACACCCAAACTAAATTGTAGAAGGACTGCATTGTCATTGGAACTTTGTTCCTGTTTTATAACGGAAGTTGTTCAGAAGTTAATTCTTCCTGTATAAATATATTTATATTTACTTGTGGCCTGAAAGATTAAAGTAGGATAGAGGCAGATAGCGGTTCTGTTTTTATAGTTGGCAAGAAGCTTTCGGCACACTAACTCTTTTTTTTTTCTTTTCTTTTTTACTTGAGGAGGGCCCATCGCCGACAACTTCCTAGAAACGTCACCATGGTAACATTATCACTCCAGCAAACTATGTAATGATTGCACTCAGTGCATAAACAGTGCAATACTATGTTCTTGTGGATTGCACACAATACATAAACGGTGCAATATTATGTTCTTGTGGATGTGAAAAGGTTTAGTACAAGATTAAGTTACGTCATGAATGCAAATCTAATCACAGGAAATTATAAAATTTTATCAGCCCTGAGATCTGTTTGCTTACTGACAAGAGACGTCAGAAGTGATACGTCAGCAATTCACTGATCGCGCACCTGATTGGATAGCATTCTTTCGACTCAGTAAAGGCCAACTGATGATAACGAGGCTACAGAAGAATGTGATGTGGACGCACGTGTTGGCGGCTGCACTAAAGGCTGTTGAACTACACTGTCTGCATTAAAAGGTATGGGGCGCGTTCGAAAATTCCGTGCGGTGTGTGGAATCGATGAGCTTTCCAACGAGAACATGCTATGGAAAGCTTTGTTGGCCGAGTTCATCGGAACCGGGATTTTGGTGCTAATTGGATGCGGTTCTTGCATCTCTGGCTGGGACGAAGATTACAAGCCGTCTGTAGTTCAAATAGCTCTAGCTTTCGGAGTGACTGTAGGTACCATAGTTCAGGCCATGTGTCATATTAGCGGAGGGCACATTAATCCAGCTGTTACTTTGGCCTTTCTAGCCACCGGTAAATGCTCTATTCTTCGTGCCTTTTTCTACGTGTGTGCTCAGTGTGTGGGCGCAATCACAGGGGCAGCAGTCTTGAAAGCGCTAACACCTCTAGCGCAGCAGGAGTTACTAGGGGCCACCACTGTCCACCCGCATTTAAACCCCATACAAGGGTGCATTGTGGAAATCTGTATCACATTTGTCCTGGTTCTTACAGTGTTTTCTGTGTGTGATGGCAACAGACTAGATGTAAGAGGATCAGCCCCTCTGGCCATCGGTCTTTCTGTCGCCACTTGTCATATGTTTGCTGTAAGTCTAATTTTTTGACACTAAGGTTTTATACATCCTAACACTCTTGATTTATTGCATCGACTACAACTCGATTGCTTACCAAGTTAAGCTTATAAAAAGCCAAACCACTGAGACACAATAGCTTAATTAATTAAAAATTATGGTAAAACGTATCGTTCTAAAACTTACTAGTTTTTCATGTACATGCACATAATTTATATTTGAAACGACTGTTTTTTTGAAAGACCATTTAATTGGATTAGGGAATTAGTTTTCCACATTCTTCTTATATGATTTATTAATTAGTTTGATTTATTTTATTTTAATAAGGATTGTTTTTAAAATATAATTATTTATTATCACTCTGCTGTTAGTAATAAAAGTTTTGAATCTATTCGTATATAATCTCTGCTGTTGGTTTAAAAATGTTTATTCTGTTTTCAGTTAAGAAGAAATACAGTTATATGTTGTAAGCACAACAAACCTTTAAAAAAATATTTAAAAATATCGTTTTATTCATGATTTGGTTTTTGCTTTTTTACATTATTTATTTAGGTATTTAGTTAGAGTTACTGTTTACTTTGTCTACGGAATAGATGTTATTAAGAATATTCATTCGTTACTTATATTATATCGACTACTTTACATTTCTGAACAGTTTTAGCCAGACAGGGTTGTCCAACTTTGTGTTAGGGACTGGTCACATAGTATTTTGAGTGCGGTCTCAGTACGGACATTAGTTAACGATAAAAAAGAAAAAAAAAACGTGTCATGGTTTTATTCAGCTTGATTGCTATTAAACGCCATAGTAATCCAGCAATGGAAAACAAACATTAGGTAACTAAGCCTCAGAAACTAAGACATTAAAATAAGTTCAATCTTCAGCTCATTCTCAGTTCATGGCTAAATATAATAAGTCTTACCATTAAACCTAAAACCCTAAACTTCGTCAATAACCAAAAATGACAACATACTACAACATTCAATCCCGAATTTCATGAATAAATTAGCACCGTAGAAGCAACTGCTCAACTAAAACCCTGTACTAATCGAGCAATTTAGTACAGTAAACATCGCTGCTCTACTGTTCAGCCTTAATCCCCATCACCACACAGTTCGAAAGGAAACCTTGTACTTTATTACTGAATTAGTAACATCCCATACTTCACGAATAAGCTAGGTCAGGAAACACTACCATTCAACATAAAAACCCGTACTTCAAGGTTGACTTAAAGCATTTACTAAAGTAGATCACTGTACTTCACGACCTAAATAACACCTAAGCAATCATCATACACACTACTGTTGCACATAAAACTTTATAAATATTGACAAAAGTACACCACGATCCAACCTAAAATACTACACTTTATGAGCAATATATAGTACAGTTCAATTTATAACCTAATATATAATAATCAATTTTGTACGAAAGAGTATTTCTTTAATTAAGCACTCTATGTCTCATGATTAAATTACCACAATAGACACTATTGTTCAATACCGAACTTTATTCTTTGTGACTAAATTAAATTAGCAGGCACAGTAGACACTACCGTTCATCTGTCCCTCTTGAATAAACTAACACAATAAATTCTGTAATATTCAACTACAAACTATACTTCATAACAAAATTAGCAGATACAGTAGATTTTATTGTTCACCTGTTCTTGAATATACTAACACAACAGATACTATATTGTTCAACCACAAAATTTATACATCACGAGAAACTAATAAGCACAATAGACACTACAGTTCACCTGTTCTTCTTGAATTAACCATTAATATATATTATAGTAGTGAACCACAAACTTTATACAAAACATGGTTCGCACAGGCCTAAAACTGTAAAATTCCTTGAATTTGGTCAAAGAGGATTTTGTTCTGAAATTATCTTGGAAACTTAAAAAAAAAACTTGAATCTAGCAAACCCCTCCTTGACTAACATTAAAATGGTATTGAATAATTTAAAATTTCTTAAATTATAATTGAAAGTTATTTTCTTTGTTTATTTACTAAAAAGAGTTTAATGAAAACAAACGTTGTTAGGATAAATTAGCATGTCAACACTGTTAGGACTACTAGTTGTCATCCAGAATACTCTGGATGTTATCGCTATATCAATGCTATGAAGCATGCATGTTCATGGCTAAGCAACCAAAGTTTCACTAAAATTAGAGTTAATATTTTAAAAGAGTTAGAATTTGATTTTCTTTATCATACGTAGTTATATATGGTAAACATGTGAAATAGTCATGGCAAAGACTTCTTGAAAAATTGAAAAAATTGAAAAATTGAAAAAATTCCAGAGGTATGTTTGAACTAAAGGATATTACAGAGTGTCAATCCTTTTAACGTGCATGCTCTATATTACTGCATTATCCCCTCAGGCAGAATACTCATTAACCTTCTATATAGATCAAAGAAACGAAGCAACTAGATAAAAGTAATCTTAACAACTTTCTGGATCTGCATGTAAACTAAGCAATTGAACAATTAATAAAATCTCTGTATCACTAAAATAGATAGAAAACACATCATATGCCAGCATATCAAAAATCCAAGTATTTCAAACCTACGTTATAACTGGGTTTTAGTTCCTAATATTGAGCGCATAGACTAGAACGTATATCCTATGATAATAAACAAAAGTCTGTCTGTACAATAAGAATCATAATAATATGTTTTTGTTTGTTATTAAGCACAAAGCTACACAAAGGGCTATCTGTGCTCTGGCCACCGCGAGTATCGAAACCCGATTTCTAGCGGTATAAGTCCACAGACATACCGCTGTGCCACTGGGGGCCCAAAATAGGGTGAGACTATGTGACTTAATGTAATAAAAACAGAAATGGTAAGAGTCGTATATTTCTAAATTGAACTATTTATATTTTTTAAGTTCACGAACTTCTGAGTGAGATCAACATATGTTATAAAAACTGATAAAATCATTGATAAATAGAGCATATTTTCCTTAGTTTTTTAACTCATAAAGTAGAGCAATGCAGCTTCTTTCTTTTCTTTTTTATTTTAATCAGAAGTTAGAAGTACAGCCTGACAAATATTAGCCTGATTGTTTCTGTAACAGTAATCAGGAGAAAGAGATAAAACATTTATATTTTTATTCTGGAATTACTACAAGAACTACCAATGATAAACGGGGAAAACTTCATTTGTTGTTTTGTCTGACAGATATATATTATGTACAAAAATATCTGATAAGATAAGTGTGATACACTTCTGAATAATTGTTATGATAATCAAGATAACTGCAGATGTTCCCCACTCCTAATAAAACCGAACAATATTTGAAAAAAAAAAGAAGAAACGTATGATTGAAATATATTGTGATAAAGTTTTGATTTGGTGTAAGTAACCCTTTTTTAATCTCCACTTCTTTGTACAAAAATAAGTTGAGTAATTTAACAACTAATAAGTGCACGACAAAGAAAATAGCTGGTTGTGAGAGAATTAACTCTAACTTCTCACGCACATTGCAATTATATAGGCGTAACGAGTCATCTGATATTCCTGAGAAAACAGAAATTTTGACTTTTGCAGCTAATGGTTTTTTCAAAATTACATGTCTTTTTTTAAAATATAAGTTTAATATTATAAGTGATATTAGAACTGTGAAATCAGATTTCAACATAAAAGTATAACATTTCAGGAGACTTTATGAACGGTTTGAGTACAACGTTACATTATTCTAATACGGTCAAAGGGACACAAGGCAAAAAAACAGCAAATATTGTAATGTATACTGATATCAAAAACATATAAATGATTTTATGTTACAATTTAGCTGTTAAAATCTACGATACAGAGATTGAGGATTGGTCTCACTATGATCAGCTCTATTAATTACAGTGGGATATTTGGAAAGCAATAATTTCAGTCAGAAAGAGACTTCTCCACCTAAAACAAGCAAAAAAAAGTAATTTGATGTCGTAGGGATGAATAAGAACAGTAATAAGCTAGAAAAGAAAATGTGTACTTTAAATTAAAATTATTTCAGACATCAAACTTTCTGTGTGTAATGCTAATAACAACAAATATTCATTGAAGTTGATAGAAAACGCCCCATTTCTTATGAAGTAAAACACGAGCTGACAGAAAAATCGGGGAAAAAAGAACCTTTTATATACAAAAAGTATATTAAAATATTCCGAATCCGCCTAAGAATTTTCTGAAAATTGTTTGCTTGTTTGAAGTTAAGCACAAAGCTACAAGTTGTGCTATCTGTGCTCTGCCCACCACGGGTATCGAAACCCGGTTTCTAGCGTTGTAAGTTTGCAGAAATACCACTGTGCCACTGGAGAGCTATAAAAAACCAGTGTTATATAAAGAAGCCAAAGCATTCCCTCCACCCCTCCATCAGTAAAAAATAAATAAAAGTTATTGCAATGATGAACGAAATGCTTAGCATTTGAATCAATTGGATTGAGATAAATTGAACTGTCGAACGTGCATAAAATGCTTGAAGGCATTCCACAGACTGTTATGAAAGGAACATGATTTAACTGTATTTATAATCATAGTTATACAGCTGAACATAATGTTAAGAGTAGTACCTTGCCATTGAGGGTTACAGAAGGTAGATTATGGAAAAAAAAAGAATGATATTCCCTTTTTGAATAAAACAAAAATTCTCCCTCTTTTTTATATGTATAAGGAATAGTACCTAATAAAGCGAGTCCTTTCATTGCGTAAGCCTAGTTTTAATTTAAGGCAGATAATCGATATGCAAAGGTTATAGTAAAATGATTTTGGAGCCTCATTACGCCCATGTCGCCACATCTGTGTCTGACGACCGTAAATTCTGACAATATTCCTGCTAAAATACTCCATCTAAGGCTGTCATGTCCAAAGCACAATCCCTCTCACTTAAATGCTTTCCATAATCTACCTAGTACATGAGGACAACGGTTTTTTAGTGCTCGTTTCAACAGTTCAATATAACGTATTCAACAGCATGTTCTCATCCCCAAATAATAGTTCTGAGCCATCGCTGA